AGCAAAAAGCAGGTAAGGTATTCTAAATAAAAAAGTCAATATGCGATCCGGACTTCTCGGACAAAGGTCTTTCTAACGATATGGGATTTGTAGCGTTTAATCGAGAAATTTGCGAGAAAACTTCCGGACAAACAAAGACAAGTGTATTATTTATATCGATACTTTTTTAACCAACTCGTATTAGGAAAATGGAGACTGCTAACTGTTGGCGACAGAAAAAATACTATTAGATAGGTTTTCGAATTATAATACATACGAGGCAGTTTTCCAACTGACTGATTATTTCAGCAACAGACAGGGTTTGAGTAATATAGGATAATGTATATCATCTTCCCTTCCTCTACTGATGGAAAAGCATAAGTAAATAAGTAAGTAAAAAAATAATGCATAAGTCACTTGATCCTGCTTGTGTTTTTACAGTAGTACAAACCACAAAATGTGGTGTAATGATGGAAAAAACAATCTTTTGGGTGGAGATGGATTCCTTGATCTTTAAAAAGTGAATAAAATCCAAGGTTGCCAGCCGAGTCTACTTGAAAATGTTATATTCCTATCCTGATGGACCAGGAATTTTTAAGATATCAAAGCAAAAGTCCATATTATTCTAAATAAAAGTCAAATATTTTAATTGTTTTAGTCTAATTTGAAGTGTAGAAGTCAAATATTTCAATTGTTTTAGTCTAATTTGAAGTGTAGAAGTCAAATATTTCAATTGTTTTAGTCTAATTTGAAGTGTAGAAGTCAAATATTGTAATTGTTTTAGTCTAATTTGAAGTGTAGAAGACTATATTGTAAAGCCTTTAATTTTCACTTTACATTCAGGGGAATTATTTATGACAATGAACGGATTAAAAACTGTACTCTTACTGATGATATTACAGTATTTCGGACCATAACCTATAAGAATTGAAAAATACTCAGTCATAGCTTTTTTGGAGCCCCGGCAATAAACCTGTATTTATATTATGTTTTATGTAGCTTAGGAATACAAAATGATAAATATTACATTATAAGATTAAAGAGAACGTACAATAAATTTT